TATGATTAGCCATCAGTGGAGACAAGCTACAATGAGTAAGGAGATAAGGAGTAAAGACAACACGCCAGAAGAGAATGACATGCTAACATCCAGATACATCATTCTCTTGGGGTCTAAGCAAATACGTCATTCAAGTTTTTCAGAATGCTTATATCCCAAAAAATAAAAATAAAAAAAAAATAAAAAAATAAAAAAAGAAAAGTTTCTTTCGACCAATTTGGCTGAAACAATATGATTTGTAATAATTAGATCATCATCATGAACCGTAAACTCTACTTCAGTAAAGACAGTTTCTTAATTTTAAAGAAATAAGCTTTTATTCATTTCACATGGGCATTCACTATGAAACATCCCTTACGATTTCAATGTCGTTCGAGTACTTAATCTCACACTCAAACTCTTTCTATCATCAGTATAGCGTCTGAATCAGATTTTCGTTATTCAGGAATCCGACGGACAAAAACAACTGCCTTTGTTATCCCAAAATTTCCTCAACTAACTTCTCTGAGGAATAGGATTGAAATAAAGTCCACTCAACTTCGGCACCTCCAAATACTTTAGAGAGGAAAACGCTTAGGAACCGGGTGCAATTCATTCAAACAACCCAAACAGTGAGTTCTTCAAGTATGCCTATGACTTAAAGAATTTGCACCACAAAAGATTAGAGGGAGGGATTTAAAATGATTGGATGCAATACATTGAGAGGGATTTACAAATGACAACTTGAAAGGATTCATTTCTAGATCCTTTATCTAATGTTATGTAGTTCATACCTAACTAATTTATCCTACATCACTTGGTACTTTCAAATCCCTCATCCATAGGGAACATTTCCTACACGACAAAGTAAGCAGATCAGAAAACCACCATGCATGAAATCATACCAGGTAGTTTATAAAGGAAGAATCTTCAGGTGCATCAGTGACAGCAGGGGCATTCAATGATGGCTCCAACGGCCCTTCCATGACCAACATGGACTGGGACTGCTTCAAGTTCTTCAAACTCACTACAATTTAATAAGCAGAAAGTAAACTAGATGCAATAATGAAGACACAATTTACTCAATAAATAAACCCAAGATAATGATGCGACTCATGATATGCAGAAAAAAATGGTATTATATTGATATAAGAGAAGATGAAATATAGAAATATTAGAAATTACTTGAACTTGAGAAGACAAATCATACCAATGATAGTAGTCAAACTTAAGAGGCCCTTGCCACCAATTATTTCTTTTTTGCAGAAATATATTATATAAGTTATCTAACATTGCACCAATCCATGATGAAGTTAATTTTATGTGGCTAAGATTGAAGAACAAATTCTAAATCTGAATACAGAAAGTAATATAATATAACACAATTGGAGCAACAACGGAGAAAGGGGGTAAAAACCTTTTGGTTGAAGATATTTTCGACTTGGGAGGAGCCTTTGAGTATGCATTCAGGATCCTGTAAAAAGGAAAGGCATTAGAATACAAATGCGTAAATGTAGCATATCTACATCCACATAGCTTAATGTGGACATGAAACTAAGGTATCCAGTAATTCCAAATCACCATTTTACTGCTTTAGATCCCATGCTATGCTCTCTGTTTGCATGCGTATCCATATGTATCTTATGCATGGATCTGGGTCACACTGTTATTGATAACTTCAACATTTAACATCATATACTTTCCTTTTGTGTTACACATATATGTATTGCATTTGCATAACTCATAAAATTTTCTAAAGTCAAACTCTTCTAAGTGAAAATCTATTGTGCAACTATACACCCCTAAAAAAATCTGTAATGTGATATTACCATCCTGCAAATATGTGCTATGCAATTAAATGTCTATAACTCTTTATTAGAAACTAACAAACAATTTGTGCACAAATGGGAAGCATAAGAATTATAAGAAAAATATTGTACCTAGTAAAGAGATTCGCAACTTCCTCACATTCACGAGCAGTTATAAAACCAAATGCCATTAACTTCTTGGGCAGCATTTCTATACAATAAATATGGAACTTGAACTTCATACTCAAAATCTCCCAAGAGATTCTCCACTAGGTTATCTGTATTATAAAAGCATAAAATTAAAAATATAAGAAAAACCTAGAGGGACATATGCATAGTTGTATGTAAACATATGTACAACATATATTACCACATAATTAGAGGAGTTCATTTTTATAGATGATCAAATCAGATATTCTAGGAAGACTGTGTACATAACTTCCTAATAAGAATTCTATGCAAAAAAGAATGACCTTATACAAAAGTATAACAAAATAACACACTTTTATAATTCCAAGATCCTCTTTTCCTGAGAAAGGAAACAAATTTTACATTGTGTTCTCAAATCATGTGGGTCGCACAAATTTTATGTGTCATTGGGGAAACAAGTTCCATTTTGATCAACTTTATAACACTTTAGAGTTTAGACTTTAGATTTATCTATTTCTCAACTTTGCACGAACATGAATATTATGTCAATCTGAAAGGATCGAATATTCCAAGCTTCTCATCAATAGATATAAGCAAATCTTGAGAATAATTTGCAGATCAGTGGCATGCTTGAATGATTAAGTTTAGATGCCTTATTTATTTTTGTGGAAGACCAGTAAATCATTTATGTTTATCTTTGCTTACAAGCTGTCCAAACAATTATTTAAACACTGCAGATAGATGGTAATGTAGATTGATACAAACAGTAGCAAACCATTAAGTCAAAAAACAAGAATTTACTTTAGTGGTAAATCGAGCAACAATCTATACCATCATACCAAATGGAAACCAACTGCTCTAATCAGCATTAAAAGAGCATGTCTTTCAGCATAAAATTACATCGACAATAAAGGATTTGTACCTGTATTGCGCCGATTCATAACGATGAACTGGAACCGCGGTTGAGTATTCCTTAACAATACAACAGTAATAAGATTAGGAAACCCAACTATCAGTATAACTAACCCAAAAAAAAAGTAAAAAGTAAAAAAAATTTACCTTTTAACAACAAAGAGAGACCCTTCAACATCCTTGCGACTCTGCAAAAACCCAGACCGTAATTAATTAAAAAAGTCAACATTAATTTGGATTAATTCTAAAAACCCTTGAATCTTCATATAATTTTCTGGGCAACCAAACACTGAAGTGGAAAATAAGATTTGGGAACGAACCCATTGATTGCTCTCGATGTTGAATTCATAGAAGGTAACGTGGGCGGCCGTAATCAGAATCTCTTCGATGAAGGGGTCGATTCTCTGCAGCACCGTGAGATTGAGCATTTTGGTGCTCTGCTGATCGAGATTCGGCATCAATTTCCCCGTCTGAGACATTTCTGATTGGCTCCGGAGAAACTTAAACCCTAGCTCCGGTGATTTTCCTTTGAATTTTTCGTTTATTTTCCCGGGAAAGTTACAGCAGCTAGGAGAGCGGAGGGAGAGGGGAGAGAGAGGAGGTAAGCGTGTGATGGAAGACCACTGTTAGTTGCACAGGTTTAGCTTTGCTTACTTAATTCTCTGAATTTACAATTATGCCCTCGCCTTCTTTGGTTGTCCTATGGGCTCTTGGCCCATTTTGTCAAGTTCATGCGGATCATAGTCTAGTTCCTCAAAAACAAAGAAAAATTAACTGAAGAAAAGTAAAAAATAAAAATAAATCTAGTGTTGTAGGGTGACGACGAATTTGTCGTGTTTGTGTCGTGTTAGTTTTTGTTCGTTTTAGGTGTTCAGTCAATTTTCGCAAGATTTATTCTTGGTATAAATGATATTGGAGATAGAAGATTCTAATACGAGATCTCAGATGCAAAGATAAACACTCTTAATTACTTGAGCTATAAACTCTTATACATTTGGATATTTGTTTTGATTCTGGAAGAAAAAGGCTTACTCCTTGATACCAAAGAAACAGGCTGCCTTGTATAATTCAAAGTTACAAGAAAGAATGAAATGAACGAGAGCAATGGAAATCTGCAACTTTTTTCTTGATAAATTTCTAGTGATTTTATTTTATGTTCACTGGTTGTTTACATTTATGAAACTTTTTGATTCTCTATTTACCATTCGTTGCTTAAACACAAGTACCACGTGATTGTCTTCCGGTACTAAGCAATGCATCGATCCGATGTTTACTGGTTTCTTCTTGTGAGTTGTGAGTAATTGAGGTTAAGATTATTGCTTTCAACTTGAGATATTATAGGGTAAAGAGGGGAAGAAGTTGCATAATTTCTTAATTATCGAAGAAATTAAAAAACTGAAAATGCCTTTCCATGCACGGGGAGGAGAGGGGTATGTGAGTTTTTAACTCTCGACAACATATTGAAGAAGTCTTAAGTAAGTAAAGAAACCTCTAACATATTCAAGAAGGCTGTATCTTCTTCAGCTGACTGTCGACGGCCATAGACATAAGCATAGTCATCAACATCACTGCATGCATACATACAAGTCTGAAGTAAGTAATAACCATTTATTAAAATCTCCGTATTACAGTAATACATAATCTAAGTACTTGGTAGTTCATGTAACTTATGGGTACGTATGAGTCAAGTACATATGGTTATCAACTTACCTAATCTATTAATTAAATCAAGTTTTGGTTGAGTTTTATTTTGGTGCTGTCTTAAATCTTGTCATCTAAAAAGGTGAAGAAACTCTGGAATTGTTATTGACAATTCAAAGATGTCATGATGCACACATCCGTGATCGATGGTAAGAAAAACTAAGAGAGAGAGAGATTACGTCAAACTCAAAAGGCGACTATTTCAGAATCCTAGTAATCCCAAAACTAGAGTAAGAGATGACTGAATAGTGCACATAGAGAATAACAATAACTTCAATTACGATATTTCTCCATTGGACAAAGTAAATTACATGAACTAAAACCAAATTCACACGACAATTAACAAGTACAGTTTTGTAGAAAAAAACACCAAAACAGAATCACAACAACGTTTACAATTAATTGTTTGAAGAGCTTTAATTAGTCTCTTCCATCTTCTTCTTCTTCTTGTCAGTGATGCTTTCGTAGAGCCAAAGCAGAGAGCAGAATCAAGAACATGAAGGTGACGACAGTAACGAAGGAAGCCACCACAGCCCCACTCACGTTCCGGCAGAAATCACCAAACTGGTTGCAGATGGCTAGCCAGTTGGAGCTTGCATTGCCATTGTGGGCTAGGTAGACTATGGATGTTGCAGCCCCAGCAGCAGAAGTGGCTAGAGTCAGTGCCACCTGTCGTGATCATATACAAGTATTATGCGCAAATTAGGAAAGCCACTTTTGTGAGTTTTCAAATTTTGACTTGATTTTGAAATCAGTTTTCAAAAAAAAAAAAATAATAATAATAATAATAATAAAATGAAATGGTTAGCGTATAAGCTTTAAATTAATGAAGTTAGAGAGGGTAGAATTATGATTACAAGGTCAAGGATGAGGAGCAAGAGCCTTGGTCCACTTGCATGGGGGCGAACAATGGAGACTATGGAGAAGGGAACTGAGAGCACCAAGTATCCCGCTACAAGTGACATTGCTATCAGGAAAAACCTGCATGCATGGATATTTGTATCAACGTTTCGTACAATATACAAGGGTAGTGTCGTCTTTCTCAGATATTTAGAATGTTACGTAGTTAAATTGTTAATCTGACTTCGTCTTCTGATCAATTATTCAAATTGACAATTTGACAATAAAATATGTCAAATTTCCAGTCTTACACCATATACAATAGTTCATTTATTCGATGATCTAGAAACATTCTAACAATGTAACATACCAAATATCGAAAAAAAAAAAAGAAAGAGAAGGAAGATTGAAACATACTGAAAACTAGGCATGTCATCATAGCTAGCTTCAAACTGGAAGAACTGGGTGAAGAAGGGAAGGTTTTGATCACTGGTTCCCATGGTCGCAGCAGCAGCAAGAGCAGACACTATAGCACCACTCCTCAAAACCAAGTCAATTATGGCCATCCCTCTCTTCATTCCTCCTTTTCCTTCCTTTACAGGAACCGTCAGAATGGGCCCTTTTCCTTTGGATGTACCACTTCCCTCGTGAGCAACAACATCAATGCTGGTCGAGTCGGGGCCGCTCTTCATTTTCGTACACAGAGAGAGAGAGAATTAATGAGGAATGAGGAAGAAAACTAAAGCTTTGTAGCTAGATGAGAAGAAATTGCTGAAGAGAAGAGATTCAAAGGCTTGTGATGAAAATGGTTAAATATGAGAACCTTTATATAGTGCAGCAAATAAGAAGATAGTTTATTTAAACTTGTCATAGAACAAATTTTAATTTTAAATTAGTCAGTTAATGGGAAGCAAGAAGAGTTGCTAATGTTAGACTTTTTCTATAGAGCAAATGACGAGGTTTTATCTGGCAAATGGATCAAGTAGTAACCACTTCAATATTATATGCAAACTACGTACGCAAAGTCCTAAATAATATGATTTTAATTAAGGAGGACGGATTATAGGAAACTTTGTGGCATTCCATGAAAGATCAAATGGGTGTAATGGAGTGGTTTATTTGGTCGTTTTTATTATATCATAGGGCACTTTAGCTTTTCAAGATAAAATGCAGAAGAGGGAAGTTGGATTTTATCAAAGAGTATTATAATTCAGGTCAAAGGTTTAATTGCATGACCAGATTTTTCAGTGTGATCAAAACACAGGATGATACACAACGTGTCATAATACAAATGGTGAGATATATGTGTTAAAAAGTTAATAACTTAAAAAATAAAGTTTCTTATCACTTGCATAAAAACACGTGATGTATCCCTCTTGCACCAATGATCTTTGAATTCTACTTCGAGTGTAATATTAATTGCTTTATTACTTAATTTAATTCTGTCTTATACTCAGGGTCGGAACCAAGATCTCACCTGTGGGTGGACCAATATACAAAGCCTGAAAAATGTATGATAAAACGTAAAAGGCCGAAATTAAGTATATATTTAATTTTGTATGTAGACTTGGTAATTTCTTACGCGATCCGTTAACACGACATATAAACGATACAAAAATAACCGGTTTCGGGTCAACATGATAACTAATCTGGTCGTTATCGGGTCACATGATAAGAACTAGTTAATAACGGATCTTTAACAAGTTTACACGAAGGTGACACATGGAAACCCTTTTCGACACTATATGAAAAAAATTATTTTGATTGTTTTAAATTTTTAAACTACTTAAAAACCTTACTATATGTATTGTTGTATTATTATTCTATACAAATTTAAAAAATTTAAGTTTTGTTTATTTATTTTTATAGTATGCTATAAGCAAAGAGTGAGATTAAAAAATTATAAAACACATTAAAAATAAAAATATCAAGTAATTTAAAAATACAAAACACATTAAAAATTATAATAATTAATTTACAAGTGCAAAAAATGTGAAAAGATATGCAAATGCTCATGAATAGTGTTTTTAAGGGAGTTCAAAATAAATAAAATTCATAATTATTAATGTACAAGTGTGAAAATTAATATGAAAGCATATATAAACGCGCAAGGTTCCTCAACCTTAAAACGCAACTCTCTTCATTTTGTATATCCTTAACATTTGGTATTTTGTAGTAATGAACTAATATTTTTTCATTAGACTCGTATTTTGGAGTACGTAATACTTGACAGATAAATGTTTTTTTTTAAATTTATTTATTTTTATTTTTTATATGTTTTGAAATAATATTTATGTGACAATGTGGTGTGCATATACTAATTTAGTATTATCTTTTCTATTTTTTTTTGTCAAATTATGTTTTTCATTTTCATTATTTATTGATTTTAAATGTATTTTCTTTAATGGGTAATGTGTCACATCCCGGCCTGGGGTGGATCACTTCCCGGGCCCGCTCCACCACCGTAGCACAATATTGTCCGCTTTGGGCCCACTACGCCCTCACGGTTTTGTTTTTGGGAACTCACGAGCAACTTCCCAGTAGGTCACCCATCATGGAATTGCTCTAGCCCCCTTCTCGCTTAACTTCGGAGTTCCTATGGAACCTGAAGCCAGTGAGCTCCCAAAAGGCCTCGCACTAGGTAGGGATGAGAATATACATTTAAGGATCACTCCCTTAGGCGATGTGGGATGTCACATAATGGGTTGAGTCATATTACCTAATAATGTTAACGGGTCGATTTCAAGTCGGGTCATATTACCCGTTTACTTTAACGGGTGTTACACGACACGACCCGTTAAGATATCAGATATATCACGAAAACAACACGAACATGAAAAATATGACACGAATGCCAGGTCTACCTGTATAAAAATTAGAATTTCATCTCAACCCCTACAAAATGTGTACAGATCATCTTTCACAAACTTATATTTTATGCAAAAAAAAAAAAAAAAAAAAAATCATATTGTTGGACAAAACACAACGAAAAAAAATATGGGGCTTTTAGATCCAGGTCCAAAAATGTAGAGTGTTTTTAGGAGTGAGTTCAGTTATCTAATTATATGTTTTTATTTCTTTTATACTCATTTTAAATTTTCTAAAAATATTAAAAATCAATTAAAATCTTCTAATATTGTGCATCTTCCAACTCCAAAAGAATATATTTAATATCTTATAACAAAAAAACTAATATACTAACATAAATTTATCTGCAAAACATTCTACCCTAACTCAAATAACAAATATATGAATGTATATAATACCTATACGTGAGATATGAAACCTAATTAAAAGGTAGAAAAAACATAACATACCTACAAGCAAGACACATTAATCTGTGACAGGTTGATTATAAAAAAAGAATCTGTCATATAGGTAGATAAATATAATTAACCTGTGATATAGGTTGATTAATTATAAAAATTAAAAATAAAATCTATAAATGGGGTTTAAAGTAGGAGGAAGAACGAGAAATAACAAAAAGATAAATAAAAAGAAATAAGCAAAGAGATAATTGGGAAGAAATTTGATTTTTATAATAAATCTTATCATTAAACAGATAACTATTGATAATTAAATAATTAAATATAACAAATTGGACTTATTTTAATAAACTGGACTATTCCTACTATTAGCTCAAAAAATTGGACTTATATCAAGTCTCTCCAAAAAATATCTATAAACCATGAAATAAACATATTATGTTGTTAATCTAGGAGTTTGTTAGTTGCTAAACCCTAAACACTAAAGATTAAAATTGTGGTTTGTTAGTTGCTAAAGTCTAACCACAATTCGATCTCATACCAACTTCAAAGTTCGTTGCATAGTATTTTAATGTTGCAAAAGTCCAACCATTTTCATTTTGTTTTCTTATGGTCCATTTTCATATTGTTTTAATTTTCATTTTGTTTGTTAATGTTCTAGATTCCTCTTCCGTTGAGGGATCCTCAAATAATATTTATTTGAGCGACATTTTGCGGTCCTCGTTTCGTAATTTTATTCAACAATTCAGATTATTTGTATTTTATACATCATTCAAATATAATCCTTGAAAAAATAGACAATTCAAAACCATTAATACATTTAGTTTTCGTGAAAAAAAAATAAACGAATACAGTTGTTTAAAGAAACCCTAATATGACTACCATTTAATCTAACAGTAAAATGGTTTCAGATTCGAATGATTTTGTTGAAATTATCTATGAGGGAAGATATGGGGTGGGCCCTACCCATGATCTCTCAAATAACCTTATTTGAGAGATCCCTCAACGAAATGGGACTGTTACTTTTATATTGTTTTATTTATTTTTTTTAACTCTTAAGTTGAAATTCCTAATTGAACTCTAGATTTATGGAAAAATAGACTGTGTTAGTGAAAATAACTAATGGAACAATACATGGTTAATTTGGAGGACTGAAACAACTAATATAGAAGTTCATGAACTAAACTAAAAATTAGGATAAGTTCAGAGATCATTGATACAATTAAGCTTAAGTAAAAAAATAAATGTTCTTCAAATGCACGAGTGCTCTTTGGCCCTTTTTAAAACTACGTTTACAATAACTAAAAACGCTTCCGATCATGTTTGGTGACAAAAACTTAAAAGTGATTTTATTTTTTATATGTTTCTTATAGAGGAATAAAAATGCTTCTAAGCCTAAGTTGTTTTTAATAAAACATTTGGAAACAGGCCTTTGTCACTTGAGCTATAAGCTTATGTTTCCTGTAGCATGTTTAGTTAATTAAGAACTTATGACAAGTTGTCATTATATTTCTAAATCAAATTAACAGTCATAATAAAAAAGGTGGTTAAATGGGTCATCGTGTCAAAATCGAATAATTCTTGTATTAGTATTTAGTAGGTCATGTTACTTATGGGTATGAGTCTAAGTACCGTATCTAATCAACTTACCTAATCCACTCGTTCATGTTAAGTTCGAGTTTTATTTCATGTTGTGTAAAGATTGTCATCCAAAAAAGTAAAAACTTTGAAAATTATTATCGACACTCTTCAAAAAAAATCGTTCTGCATACATCTATTCCGAGGAGAGGAAGGTTAAGGTAAACTTGAGTAAGAAATTATAATAGCAATAAATTTCATTACGAAGTCTTCCATGGGTTACATGAACTATAACCAAATTCTTGCAACAATTAAAGGAGTAGTTTTGCAGAAAACACCAAAACAAAATCACAAACAGCGTTACAACAATAACAAATTTGAAGAGATCTTTAATTAATCCCTTCCATCTTCTTCTTCTTGTCAGTGATGCTTTCGGAGAGCCAAAGCAGAGAGCAGAATCAAGAACATGAAGGTGACGACAGTAACGAAGGAAGCCACCACAGCCCCACTCACGTTCCGGCAGAAATCACCAAACTGGTTGCAGATGGCTAGCCAGTTGGAGCTTGCATTGCCATTGTGGGCTAGGTAGACTATGGATGTTGCAGCCCCAGCAGCAGAAGTGACTAGAGTCAGTGCCACCTGTCATGATATATATCACAATTTCAATTAAGTTAATTATAATCAGATTAACAATGTATGACTATTACGAGCTAATCATGAAAATCATAGAGAGGTTAGGAATGTAATTACAAGGTCAAGGATGAGGAGCAAGAGCCTTGGTCCACTTGCATGGGGGCGAACGATGGAGACGATGGAGAAGGGAAGTGAGAGCACCAAGTAGCCAGCTACAATTGACATTGCTATTAGGAAAAACCTGCATGCATGCATAGATATTAGATCAATGTACCGTACAGTACGCAAGGGTGATGTTGTCTTTTTAAAACATCCAAAATGTTACGTTGTTAAATTGTCATTCTGCTACCGTCATCTGATTAACGATTCAGATTGACAGTCTGACAATGTAACATGCTAAACTGTTAACCAAAAACAACACATAATAGTTCATTTGTCCGATAATCTAGATTAACGATTTGACAACATAACATACCAAAATATCAGAATATTGTAAAACATTTTCTTTTGTGAGATTATCACCAAACGGAAAAAGAAGGGGAAGGAAAATGAGAACATACTGAAAGCTAGGCATGTCATCATAGCTAGCTTCAAACTGGAAGAACTGGGTGAAGAAAGGAAGGTTTTGATCACTGGTTCCCATGGTGGCAGCAGCAGCAAGAGCAGCCACTATAGCACCAATCCTCAAAACCAAGTCGATTATGGCCATCCCTCTCTTCATTCCTCCCTTTTCGTCCTTCACATGATGAACTGCCAGAACAGGCCCTTTTCCTTTGGATGCACTTCTTGCCTCAACATCAATGGTGGTCGAGTCGCCGCCGCTCTTCATTTTCAGAGAGAGAGAGAGAGAGAGAGAGAGAGAGATGATAAAACAGAACACTGAAGCTTTGGAAATGGGAATTGTTGAGGAGAAGAGACTCAAAAGCTTGTGATGAAAATGGTTCACACATGAGAAGCTTTATGTAGTGCACCAAATAATAAGAGTTTAATTAGTTTATTAATTAAAATTAGTCAATTTCAATTTTCAATTACAAATTATAATTTATTTAGGGGTGTGCTATCCACACACCCCTTTTTACTTCTCACACACTTTTTGTTAATTTCTATCCGTTGATCTTCTTCAATTCATTCGATCCGACGGCCGAAAATTAAAAAGGTGTGTGAGAAGTAAAAAAAGGTATGTGGATATCACACCCTTTATTTATTTATTTTTTGTTGATATAAGAGCAGGTGAAGAGATTTTACCTGGCAAATGGATCAAGGCGTAACCACTTCAAAGAATATAATATTATATAAATAATACGTTGTTCAGGAGGAGTGGGTAGGAGACTTTAGGCACTTTTATCCTTTGATGAATATTATGCAGAAGAAGGAAGTTGGATTTTATTTAAGATTAGAATGATTTTATTTAAGATTAGTATAATTATAGTCAAAAGGGCAATCAACTAACTAAGCAAGTTTTATTCTCTTTAATCACTCAATTAAACCACAGCTAGCCCTCCCTAACCAACAATGTAATGTACGGTTTCTGCAATTGTTCAGTGTAAAACCACATTATTATTTGCATCACTTTAAGGTTGTCCACTTTAATGGCTAGGGTAATCAAGAAAAACTTCTGTAAAGGTGATACGTAGTTTGGCATATAGAGTAAGTTATTAATAAATTGTCACGTTGACACGAATAATGTTGAAATAACCATATCAAACTTTAATATCTTGGTAATGCAAGTGTCCATGATCTTTCCTCTTTCAATTTTTTCATTTTACATTGAAGGAGATGAAGCGATACAAAAGGACGTGCCTTCCCTTAACAACTCGGGTGTCACTAGGGAACGAAACAGCCAAATATAAATAAGAAATATGTACAATTCTTTTGTTGGTAAAGATAAATTACGCAAAATTGGATAGACTGCGGACGAAAAATTTCCATAAACATGGAAATCTGGTAGTAGACTAAGTCAATCACACGCTGCTATATGTTGTAACTGAAAACTAAACTACTCTACTTCAATGGGTTTGACATTTGGCAAAGCTCTTTTTTATTTTAATACATTCAATGTTATCTACACTAAGGAGTGGGGGAGTGAGCTAAATCTTGAATTCGTCTTTGACGAAAATCGTATTTAAGACCGCTCACTTATAAATGAAGAAGAATACCATTGGACCATAGTATTAAGTGACTTGGCAAAGCTCATTTAGGTAAGTTGTATAGTCCACCCACGCTCAGCAAGTGTCTTGTTCACCCGCCTAGCAGCCTCGGCAGTGTCATTGAGTGGTGTATATCTCCAACGCTGGGACATCTACTCAAAAAAAAAAAAAAAAAGAGGAATTTCGAAAACCTCATATTAGAGAGCTGCTTAGATCCCTTCTTTTCTCATTTACTAACTGAAAAAGGTAAGGAACTGATGTTTGGTGACTTAAATCTTCTTTACGGGTGAATGGTCGAACAGCTCCTCGTTCCCGCAGAGAGTTCTGGAAGTCTGCGAACTTCCATGTACAGTGTTCCCCACCAATCACATAAACAGGTTTGCTGAAGCGAACGTGACAAACTCTTGGAACGCATGAATTGACCACAGGAATTATTTATTACACAGCTATGAATAATTAAGTTGGCCCTCGTCATTCATCACACTTAGAACATACCGGTACTACAAGCCTCACTCAACATACTGACTGAATCAGCGGTAATGACAAAAGCATCGGCGCAGGCTAGATGGCCCATGTGTGGATTGCGACCTAGCAGTATTACATATAACATAACATTTCACTTTCGAGCATTTATAGGTGCATAATATCCTAAGAATATGATAACTAAGTACCTTCACCATCCCAAATGTAGACTTTGGGATTAGTACTGAATTCTTTCCTCAAAACTCTGGACACCTGTTCGGTAGTTCTCCCAGATAAAGATATTCTCACACTTCCACAGCTCCAAAGAACATTCTCAAGATCTGCATCATATGAACAGTTTCCTATGAAAAGAATATGGATGCAGGACTATTTGATTATCTCCTCAGTGCAAAACTAGAAGGGAGAAACAACTTTGAACAATGCAAAAGAAGAGGGGACCAATATGTAATTCCAACAAACAAATTAACTCTGGCATGTAATAGAACACAGTAAAAGATAATGACATAGCAAAACCAGCACCTTATAAGTCTGCAATGTCAGGATTTATGATTATCGATTCCTGCATCAACAATAATGAAAATGACAGAAATCCATCAAAAGCATTTCATCATAAAAACGACAATATTAAATCATAACGGTTTTTTAGCTGCATAAACTTACCTTAAGGGCCTCCGGTATTAACCACAAGCAAAGGTTTGGGAAGTGGTGCCAATTCAGCATGCCAGACAGAAGCAGCACTCATAAGTGCAGCAAAATCAGGAATGGTATCCCGACGAGATGCAACCACCAGCAACGGGCCATCTCTAGACAGACAAGAAAGTATGCATATAAATCTTTTACTAAAAAAGAAATTACTGAACAAAAATAAAAATTACCCTACATTTGAAATAATATCATACATGTTGTATGAGCTTGTGAGGATGATGAAGCGCAAGCAACGTACCACCATTGGCAACTAATAGAACTTGACAAAAGGTTCAAATTTTTAGATTCAATTACGAAACCCCGGAAAAGAAGTAGCCACACACATACTTGTCGAATGTTCGACGAGCCATTTCTGCAATCTGCTTTGCATCAGCTTCCGGCATATCAGATGAGAGGCCTGAGCTAGCACCATTTTCAGCAGAAACAGCCATCAGTTCAACTATTTTTCCTTCAACTGATCAATGCACGTGGGGCTTACTTGAAATCCACTAGGACCCCAACATGCATGACAGAAATGACAGTGGAAATGAAATCCTCAACTTACATGAAAGCCACTCGTTAATTCCTCCTTTTGGTCGACTAACACGCTGCATAATCATCATTAATCAACCCTTAAAGTTAAAAACCAACCAAAAAATCCTCAATTAATATGCTCAAAACCAGATTAAAATTAAACAAGAATAGAAACCCAGTACCAATATCAACAGATTTTTCAAATTTTCACAAAAAGATTGAAACTTTGATTAAAATTAAACAAGAACAGAAACCCAAGGCTTAAGCCACAAATTCGAAAAGTACAACGCCGTATATGTAAAAGGGCAAAATGGGAAATTTAATGTAGAAATGTGGCAGAATCTGAACCATTGATTTGTTTGAACGGTGTCGATCAAAAGTTTTGCATAGGAAATATCTGGCAGAGGATCTAATCCGCTTGATTTCCCAAAGGGCATTTGTTTGAAGCCTTCCGCTCTGAGTCTCTGAGAATCTTCGAGTCAGAAAGATGTGGGCAAGCAAAGAAGGAGGGCCGCCGGAGGTCACTCTAGAAACCACCATTGGCAACTTCACCGTCGAGGTAAATTCTCTTTCTTCCCAAGCTTTCTCTTCAACTTTCTTTCACTTTCTCAGTAACCAAACAGAAAATTCAATCCATAAAGTTTGGATCTTTGACATTAATTGTGTTTTCTAATCGTTAAAAATCGTAGCTTTACTACAAGCACGCGCCAAGGACTTGCAGGAACTTCATCGAGCTCGCTCGCAGGGGGTATTACGACAATGTCAAATTCCACAGAATCATCAAGGTTTCATATTTTCTGCTTTTGTATTATATATATATATAGATTTTAGTGATGATTGAATTGGAATTGGTGTAGGATTTCATAGTGCAAGGTGGTGATCCCACTGGGACAGGAAGGGGTGGAGAATCCATTTATGGGTAAAAAAAATTTCCCCTTGAATTTATCCATTGTGTATTGAGTTTTGTTTTGTTTTGTTTTTTTTTATTTTTTTTTATTTTTTAACCTCCCAATTTTAATTATATTTGAGAAACATAGTGAAGAACTTGTTTTGTATAATGGATTTCAGGGGAAAGTTTGAGGATGAGATAAAACAAGAGTTGAAGCATACTGGAGCTGGCATCTTATCGATGGCGAATGCTGGTCCAAATACAAATGGAAGCCAGTTCTTTATCACGTTGGCACCGTGCCCGTCACTGGACGGTAATATAATGTTTACTCATAATGTTTGGACTGTTTTATGATTTATCAAACTAGTTGGAATCCTTTTTTCTTATTATGTACTATCTATGCAGTATTTGACCTTTCGTTTTACTTGATCTGCATAAAACTGATCCTTAGCAGTAAACGTTTTTGGCGTTCTCATGGGTACATATCTTTGCATACAATGTCATTAGGTGCACATGTAAGTGGGATAAGAAACAAGACTTCAGTTCATTGCTCTGTGACCTATGGAAATGTCTGGAGACTGAAAAACAGTTCTTGCCATAATATTATTTCTTTGTGATATTTCTATGAGCATTTTGCGATCTGATATGCACACACAATCTGGAGATAGTTATGTGTATTGGGCTGTTTTTGTGTACAGGAACCTTTAAGCTACAGATGACTTTGATAATCTATACCATCACTGTTAGGATTCTGTTTGAGCTATAAATTGACCTCTTTATGACAGTATTCCATCCTTTTAGTATAAATACTGTTTACTTGGATTTATTTGTTTGTTCCCGTTGAGTTATCTTTAACAAAACTTAATGACCAGTGTGAGAGCAGGGAAGGCTCTCTTTCATCAGTACAATTTCATGCAGTGAAAATTTGCCTTCCACTGATGGTAATTTGCCTGATGTTTCTGCTTTCATTCAGGAAAGCACACAATATTTGGAAGGATCTGCACAGGAATGGAGTTCATCAAAAGACTTGGCAGTGTCCAAACTGATAATACTGATAGGTATGCCTTCTCTCAGTTGTATTTCTTGATATTTGACACAGATAAATGGCCTTTTACTGTTTGCAGTTTTCCTGCTAATGGTTGGTCACACTGCCGGATCCTCTACCAAACCGAAAAAATTAAGATTCTGAGTTTGAAACTTTAGAATGTAACTTGGTAACTATTTTGGTCTTGGAGAAGCAAATTATCATGATGACGTCCTAAGATTATCTTCTGATGTGAATTTCAATATTTTTTTAATAAATGTTTCCGGCTCATGTGACATAGTAAGCTAAGCTACAATGTCTCATAAAATCTGCAAGAGGAATCTCTTATGGTATGAGTTAAACTTCTTTTAGAACTGAAGGAAGAAAAAGAGATGTTAAGCAATGATGTCTTATGTTTGAGCAAGTTAAGCCGTTGACTATTTTCTTTTTTGGATATATAAATGTGGACTCAAATTTGTTATACTATGTTTTCAGTCATAGGAGCATGTGGTAAATCTGGTTGTGATTTTGGATATAGGCAATCATAGGTAGATATGTCGAACAGTTTAAATCGATTGCCTCAATTCTCCAGATAGTTTGGAAATGATGCTAAATTATTGAGTATTGTCAATTTTTAACAGTACCAATTGTAAGAGTGTCTTTTTCACTTGGAAAAATATTGTGGAGAAGTGATAAATAAGTGATTAGTTAGAACTTCGACTATCTTCCCGAATGTGATCTAATATATTAAGTGATTTTAGGTTTAGTTTTGTAAGTGATTATAGCACCTTGTCATACTTAGATTTGTAACTCTTGCAATTAATCGCCTATGATCACCGGTCTGTAAGTTTTATTTCTAATCGTTTTGCCCTTGTAATAATCTTCTTTAGGAGACTTAAGTTTGCATGATTTGTTCAAAACTTGATCTGACGTGATTTTGTTCGTAATACAGGCCGGTGCATGATGTGAAGATACTACGAACATCAGTCAAAGATTAGATATCTTCTTTGTTCTAGAGCTTGATGAAGACGTGCCTTGGATCTACCAGAGTGATCAAATTGCAAAGCTTCTGTTAACGATAAAGTCATAGAGCTTCAACAAGTTGGATATTTTGTATCGACGGATAACAATGTTGGCTGGTCGGTGTATTTCAGTCATGCAGGGATACTAATGGTGAAAAGGGGGAGTGATTGTTCACTAGACTGAACCCTTATATTTGGCACCTAACACAATTTGATTAGTAGTTCTACTCTTTTAAGAATTCTCGCCCCCGACTTGTACAAGGAGGGCGCGCTCAAATAAACATCGTCATTACCAACTAGCATTTTTCTCTTCTCAATGTTGAAAGATGTCCTAAAATTCGTATCCTCGATTCCCCCATTGATGAAATTATTCACTTTCTTCCAATCCCATGCTCGAAATATAAATAACAATCCTTACGGTAATTGCATTGATTGAGAGAAGTGATTTTTTCGCTTCCCTTTTCAGCCTCGCAGTCCATTTTTCTAGCCTTCGAACGGAATAATAAATGAGAATCAAGGAACATAAACAAGAGGATGAATGGAGATGGAGAAGGAGAAAGCAGAAGTGTAAGCGTTAATATGCATCATTTGTGACACACACAGGTAGTGCGGTGTTTGCAGCAATGCAAATAGAACTACGTATTTTGTCTCAAGACTCCCTTACTCTTGAGTCTTTCAGAAGATTATACTAGTATCAGAAGAGCTGGTAAATCTTATTACACGAAGAACAAACATTCTGCGAATCATAGCGTCAAGACATGCTAAACTTTACACACAAAATCCATCTATAAACTGGTTGATTAAATCGTAGAACTATGAGAGAGAAGGCACGATTCAACTGTTAACCAAACCAGGAAATGACTAGGTAATCTGACATGCCAACTATGCTGTTTAAAAATCATACAAGCAAAACCTACAAAATTAGGAAAAAGGTTCTCTTACAATTTACAAACCACAATTATATAGTCGGGAAAAATTGCAGACAGCTAACTAAGAAGCTCATAGCATCACCTCTTTCTTTCAGGGGTCAAGCATAGAAAGACGTATTTCTTGCGCAGAATAATATCGACTCCGAATGCTGCCAAGCAGTTGTTTCCCAAAAAAATGTGATCCTGGGCAGGTAAACATAGTGCTTCCACCGTTACAACCGGACTCAATTCCACTATAGGCAGATCAAATCACCCAGAACAGCAATATGGCTTTGTACTCCGTACCAACGCCTCAGGTATGTACCCATCAGACTCCATTCTCTTCACAAGTGGAGGGGTTAAGCACAGGCGGTGGAAGAGGACCAAATCCATTAGTCTTAATAGATTCAGGAGGGCCTTCTCTTGGTGTTGTAATACTTGTTGGATCACAGACTCCAGCAGCTGGATCTTCAGCGATTACTTCCTCTTGTAGCATTTCCATTTGCCGTTGTGATGGCACATCACCTTTGCAGTAACTGTGCCACATGCTCCTGTATGCCGACTCCAGCCCAAAGGTAAACTTTGGTCCGTCACAGACAGGCGACCTGGCCATAAGGTCCCGGAGACCCATTCTCAAATTCGAAAGCGCTGTGATGTCAGAGGCCAGCTGCACTGCCAACTGGACATATTCATCCTCACTTTTAGCAATCAGATTTCCCAACCCTGTATTTAGTCCACTTTAATAGGTTAGGTTCTATCAGCGGTAAAACAAGATCAACCATTAACAAGAACACACATGCAGAATGACAGTAAGATGTGCACATCTAGGAAATATTATTGGGGGTCAGCAAGAATAGCGCGCAGCATGCAAATTTTTTTTTGAACTGAATAGCATGCAAATTGGCATTGCATCGAGCTTTAGTAGGCCTGATGTCATTTGCCAAGTCATATTGCATGCAATTCCGAGCATGTCCACTGATGTCAATAGCTTTTGAGCGAGCATGCCGACAGATGCCAACAAGTGCCAACAAATGCCAAGAGCATGTCGACTGATGTCAATAGCTTTGAGTGAGCATGCCGACAGATGCCAACAGATGCCAACAAATGCCAAGAGCATGTCAACTGATGTCAATAGCTTTTGAGTGAGCATGCCGACATATGCGAACAAGTGCCAACAAATGCCAAGTGAGCCTATCGACAGATGCCCATGGCAACGCATACAAAAGGCATGATGGTAGCAGCTACCCTGCCCAAGGCCCATAAAGACAATTCGAAGTGCAGTTGGAGGGCAGCTTTCAAGGTTCAAAGGGCAGCGCCTAGCTCTTCCATGGAGGATTTCTGAGCTTGTGGGGGTCAGCTGACCCACCTTGCCCCAAGGTGCATCCGCCCCTGTGCACATCCATCAAAAGTCCAATATTGAAGGAATTTATTTTTAAACTGGTGCATCTCTACCTAGTCAAGTTTGGAGAATGTTTACGAAGATTGTGCCTGTCACAGTGAGAATTGATCTCAGGTGTCCTAGAGCTTGTGACACATATTCTCTCTTCTTAGTCATATAGGAGATATAAACCAAAATACGCAACCAACAATAAGGCAAATAAAGAAAAAGGTCTCTTCAGAGCAACCATACATGGTACTTGGTACACCAGAAAGACATTGATTAAAAAAGGAGGAAAAGAAACACTTACCAACTTTGCTGAGAATACTAACACCAACGTTGTGTGCATGTACTGAACCAGCCATAGTAACACACGGGACTCCCATGTATAAGGATTCACATGTTGTGGTTGTTCCAGCATATGGAAAAGTATCCAAACTACATATAGAGAATATAAATTCGGTTAGAACCTCCAAACAAGATCTAACAGTAACAAGTGAACCCTTCCTAAAATGTGCTGCCAGCAGGTCAGAATCCAGTAAAACTTTATTGCATGCATATTAGAAGTTCTGGAATGATTCTCTAATTTCTACAAAGCATCACAAGTTGCTCTATTCACATTATGGTCAGGTCAACTTAATTGTTTTTTGTTCTTTCTTTAACTTATTTTCAGAGTGACTATAAAAAAATAGATTAATTGATCTTTACTAGTCAAGATCAAGTTTCTTGTTTGCCTAAGTAAAATTACTGCATATGCTCATTTTCGTTTGACTACACAATAATTCAAGAATCCAGAGGAAACGAGCCCACACATGGGAAAATTGCTCCCCTTGATCATCCAAGCGAGATAAATAGACAAGAAATATAAACAAACTTTGACAGTAGTAACACTATTGTCCTTCCAAATGTAAGAAAAAATATCTCCAATTTACCTAATGTCCATGAGAGAATAGGCTTGCATATGATCGTAGTTGAGTAAAATTAGAGGCAGCAGATCAACACGTAGAGGTTCCAACCCCAGCTGTTCCAATGTTGAAAGAAATCTCTCTCTCACACTATCACAACTAAAAGGCTTACACTTCACCACTAGGCGAGAATTCGGAATTGCAGAAAGAATTCTTGCCCAAACTTGTAGCACTTTTGGAGTGATCTAATAAGAGAGGAGAAAAGAGTAGTGAGAAAAAACATTATACAAATGTAATCCTTTTTCCAGTAAGAAACAAGATTTTTATAATATGATACATGATAAGATTGCTTATAGCTGAAGCTATATGCTTGATTACCAAGAGAAAAAAAGAAACCGAAATAATACCTTCGCCAGATTATTAAAGCTACCAAAAGTAACAAAGCCATTGGAAAGAGCAGGAGTGGGCATAACAGGCCCTGCCTCAGGGGAAGGTGTGTAACAAAGAAAGCAATCGGGTAATCGAACCAACTCCTCAACATGCCTGACCAAAAAAAAACACAGTTACTAAAAATGTCCCAGTACTACCTACTCTCTATCAGATACTCATCCTTGAATCCAGAAGAAAAAAGAGCAATTATCATAGGAGTAAATAGTACTAGACTTACTTCTGCTTTGAATCAGGAGGATCGGCCAGAGAATCTGTGATTCTATAATCAATTGCCGGCAAACCAGTTGTGTTTGGGTAGCCAATCCAGGTCACCTGTAAATCCAGCAATAGAAGGTTAGCTACTTAAAAAAAACAATACCGTAAACAGTGAGTGAGGCACATGAAAATGAAAGGAACAAATTTAACGGGAGGCGTCATTTTCAGACTGAAAAGGAATTAGGCTTCAATATATAAAGCATCTCACAATGCTTTGAAAGTTGTCCAATAAACAGGAAAATCACAAATGCCTGTTCTAGGATAAAGATTTATCTTGAACTTCCTCAACTTTCAGATTTGCTGAAGCCAAAAGGAAAAAAAATCTAGATTTGCAAAATATTATAAAATATATTGTATATTATACTGTAAGTCTATAAGATTAAAAGTCAACAAAGAAAGATACACAGAAAACAAGAACACGTTTAAAGCCAACTGCCTGAGAAAAGATAGAAAACCTTTCAACATACCTGAACAGGTGAGGGCCTGCATGCCATTGTTCCCAATTTATTGTTTGCTGTATGGCCAGTAAGTTCCACCAAGATATCAACCTTATCTTCTCTAATAATGCTTGCAACCTTCTTTTCATCAATCCCATATATATCTCTCCAAATCCCACCCTTTTTCAAGACTTTCTCCCGAAACCTAATAGTCTTGGCATCTGCCTGTGACATTATATAAAAGTCAATTCCAAATTGTGTGTGGGATAAAATATCTCATACAGTATTTGATCTTAAAGACAACTACAAGTTATTAACTTTATAACAGCATGAAATTAAATATATAAAAAAAATACTTTCGAGAGAACATGTGACTTGCAACCAACTGAGAATTAACTAAGCAATTTTTGACAAATCCTAGGATAGTGGGTCTATTTGGTTAGGGGACAGCCAGACAGGGAAGAAATGAAGACAGGAGACAAGGAAAACAAAAATAAGTATATGTTACGATGACAAGTTCTCATTAAACATATGGTTTTAGAAAATGTGTTATAACGAGAACTGAAAGCACAGAGTATAATTCTGGCTAAAGCTGCAAATGAAAAGGTTAAGACACGGTCTACAGGAAGCACAACTGTAAACGTAAAATGGACAACGAACATGGATGAAAGTAAAAATAAAATGAAGAAAATCAATACCTTCACTACTGCAGAATACACAACCACCTTGTACTTTGTGTATTCATGGTGGGCAAGCGGAGCTTCTATGAAATATGAAACAGAATGAGTAAAATAATCAGGAGACACATATCCAATCACGAGGGGTCGTTCTGGATCTTTTGGATTGTCCCATGAAGTGTACTGTGGATATAACCTCATAAAGCGCCTACCCCAGTCCCTGCATGTAAATAAATTCAACTGAGCATCAACAAATCTATAACTCCCGATTTCAAGGTTAAACACTGCT